GTTCCTAGAAACAGACAACCAGACCACCCACACAAATCTTTTGATTATAATGATGAAGGCTTTGTGCAGAACCATCTACACTTTTAGAAGGACCGAATACAGAGACCTGGTGCACCATGTGCCACAAGGTCTTCAAATGACCCTCCACAGGTTTTGAAATCAGAGTTGTCCTCCTTCTAGACCAGTTGCCCTCCAAGGCTATAGAACCCAGTCTGTTTTACTATTTACCCATAGGTGGTGGTGGGGAAGAGGATTCATGCCTTTCCCAAGGGGATTAGCAGGTAAGTGAATGTAATGGAACCAACTGGAATTTGAATTCAGCTCTCCGATTCCTTGACCTGAGCCACTATCCATTACAGCACTATGTCTATAAATAAATATATATATATATATATATATATATATATATATATATATATATATATATATATATATATATATATAAGATAAGAATAAATATGGACACAATGATTGCTTTTGATTTCTTTCTGAATAAAATTTGATTCAGACTCTAACAGAAAATATTAAAAATCACTTTTAAAATATGATTTAACATATTTGTCAAGGTATATTTTATATTTGGAAATGAAATAACAACTGATATTATAGACTGATCTATTGAGATAAGTATTTCCATCTTGGTTTTACAATGTTTCTGGCCTTCTTCAGATGTCTGATCTATTTCTCATCCTCTGAGAAATTCAAACCAAACCATTAATTTAATCTATGCAAGAAGACATTTTCCATTCTACTGTCCCCATGAGAAGATCATTTTGCATGAGTTTATTCTGCTTCATTATTTCATATCTGAAATGTTACTTCTGCTTGTTCGACTGAATCAAAATTTATAATTATCTGGCCTAAGAATAGAACTAACAGTTACCAGGTAATCAGATGCACTTAAAAAGCACTATTTTTTAATTTTCTACCCTTGAACTTAATGTCCACCTTTTCATAAGTAAAATCTGACATAGAATGTTTAGTTCTGTACTTTAGTTATTTCAAGACAACTGAATAATTTATATATTGCAATATGGCATCCTGAAGTATTTTGTTCTCGGCTACAAATGACTAAAGAGAAGAAAATCAGTTACAGAATTTTGGAACCTGATACTCAATGTTCTTTTCTACTCAAAGGATTTCATATGATGTTCATTTTAATGATTTGATTATTTTGAGACAATCAAATATTTTTGCATATGGTATTCAATTTGATATTTTGAATTTTTTTCCAGACAAATATTTTAATTTTTAAATTTAATTTAAATATTTTAAATATTGCAATATGACAGACTATATAAATTTTGTTTCTAGCTATAAAGGGCCAAAGAGAAGATAATTTAAATAGTGTATGTTTGAAGCCTTGAACTTAATGTTTATTGTCTCCTAAGTAAAAATTCATATATGCTGTTCATTTCTCTTTTCAAGCATGGAAATTTGAATAAGAAAAATCTCCCTGATATAGATTGACCTTTTAGCATTCAACAAGTTCAAACCCACCCAATGAATATCTGCTTGCAAAGTCTCGTTGTTTGTGATCAAAGTCATAATGTTCACATGAGGTCCTGCATTATTTGCAATAATGTCATCATATCTGGCAGGTTACAGCAGGTTTCAACATTGAGAGTCAATATTTATGGTACAGGTTTGGTGAGACTGAATGCTAAGGGGTTAAATAAAAGATTTGATTTAAACTTTCATGTTACAAAATATAACGGAGACCTGAGGAACAATAGAGAGTACAGTAACTGAAACATTGTATTTGTAATGAGGATGATACTATTTTGTTACTCTGTTGCTATATCCAGGGCAAATGTTCAGATGAACTCCATTCTTCATTTGCTTCTGTCATGACATTTGCAGCTAGGACTGGTCATGATATCTCGAGGAGGTGGAATCACTCTCATTTCCTCTGTATTTCATTTGTAAGAAGGAAGTTCTACTCAGTCAGCTTTTCCTGAGAACTGCTACTTTGAGAAACAAACTCCTACATGGATACTTCCCAGAACACTACAATCTTAACCTCTTCAAGTCAAAGGTCAATTGTTATCTATCCTCCTTATGCTCATAATCTTTACTTCTTTCTGCCTTATCTTACATTCATATCACATAACTCATTCAGTAACTCTATCTTGAGTGACTCTTGAGATTTGTGTTGAGTGAATTTTAGTATAGAAATGAATATATTGATTAATGGTAATTTCTTTTTTCAGTAATTCAGATTGAATAACAACTAGTTTATATGTAATAAACATTGAAGGTAGATTCTAGATTGAGTTATTTATGCTTTTGTTCTCATTTTTGTTATCATAGATTATATTATTATAGATAAAGTTTCAGCTTCTGGGAAGCATCTTGACAGAGGATGGTAAGCGCAGCACTGAGATCTGTAGGTGTATTGGGATAGCCAAGAACACATTCCAAAAGCTGGGCAGAGTATTGCAAGACAGGAGGATATCTTTGGTAACAAAGAAAAGAATACTAAACTGTTATGTGACATCTGTCCTTCTTTATGTTAGATAATTTTGGACGATTTCCTCAAAGATGAAGAGACTCAAGGCGATAAAGATGTGGTTCGACAGAAGGATGCTAAGGATATCATGGACTGAGTGTGTGAGCAATGATGAGATTTTAGGTTGCAAACTAGGAGGAGGCTTATACTTTATATCAGGAAGAGGCAGCTGAAGTTTCTGGGACACATAATGAGGAAGGAAGTCTTGGAGAATCTGATACTCAGGAGTCGAATAGAAGGAAAGAGACACAAGGGAAAACAATGCATGACATACCTGGCGGACTTAAGCAAGTGGATAACAGAACATGGTCTGAAAGAGGAAGCAGAGAGAAGGACCTTGCTGAGAGCTGCAAGGGATAGAGGGAATGGGTGGAGAGCCATGAACGCCTGTGTCCTGAAAGGATATGGCACATAAAAAGAAATGAAAGTCTGTCCTGTCTCTGTCAGTGTTATCTTATAGTCTTATAAAAGTTATTTGTTATTTGTCAACTGTGTTATTTTGTCTTTGTGAGGCCATTTCTTGCTTATCACATGGATGAAATAATTTTTTTTAAGCTTTTCACCCCAAGCAAAGTGGGAGTGTCACTAGCAAACAAGGGGTTATAGAGAATGGGAGCGAGAGTAAAGAGTCATGATAGAGAAATGGATGAAGAGAAGGATGGGGAATAGATCAAGGTATCTGGAGATGTCGACTGACATTGCATTTGAATAGTTGGAGATTATAGCTGTCAGGGAAGCAAGTAAGAGGAAAGGAGACATGAAGCTATTGGTGTAGAAGAGACGGCTACATTTAACTATTTCGATAGTGAAAGGTTGGGACTGAGATGCTGACCTAGTGGCACATTTAAATTCATGCAGTTTGGGAACTAGGAAAGGTAGTTTGTCGAAGCAGTTACCATGAAAGTATTTGTAGAAAAGACAGAAGGAGGCGACGGCATGTCTGTGAGAGTGCGACCGTAAATGAGATACCAGATCAGGGCCAACTATATTGCATATCCATCTTTGGGTTTAAATAATTTACTAATATAAAATATCCCGACCAGCCAATGAGGGGACACCCGAGAATGGGCAGTTTCTGTAATAATAAAAATATCTATAATAACTGAGATAAGTACAATAATTTGAATAAACCAATGTACACTCCTGGGGGAAAAAAGTAGGCCAAGCCCAAAATGTCAAATTATTAAGCTTTTAATAGTCTTAATGACAAATCATTGGCAAGGAAATAAGAAAGAATTAAATATATAAAGTCACTTAGCTTTCTCCTTTGATACTTTTAAATGTTTAATTCTTGGGGATAAACTTTTGAGCAACTTTTTATAGAAAGAAAAATCAATGTTGTTCAATTTAATGTTGATCACTTCAAAGAATAAATGAGTAATTAAAAAAAGTTTGTCTTTAGTGTGAGACCAAATATTCTTTGTAGGGTTCAAAGATGACAATAAAACCTTGATTAACTTTTTTGTGCTTTGTACAGTGAGGACATGAATGTTGTTTTATTAAAAAAAACATCTGATCATTCCTCTGTAGAAAATGTTTCAATTAGGCAAGCAAATTGTTCTTCAATATTCACCTGTATTCCAAAAGTGTTTGGGCCCCTTCGCTTTGTACTAATGTATATGGGCTCTTTTCTTTGACCTCAAATATATGGCCCTTTTTCTTTGCCCTGAAGTGTATAACAATTTCTTAAAAAATAAATTTAAATACAGATCTTGTGCATGTTCATTCACAACTTGATTTTACTAAATGCATATTTATTTTTCTTCTTCTTTGTGCCATGTCCATTCAGAATATTGGCGATCATGGCTCTACACAATTTCCTTTGTAGCTCTTAATATATTTTATCTTTTTCTTATCTCTTCTAAACCTTGTCTCGCTGTCCATTTACTCCAGCTTGCTCGGTAGGTTATGCACTGTTTTCTTCTGTCCCTCTTCAGTATATCATGTGAGTATCAAATTTTCCAAGCCACCTTTCCTCAATATATGCTCTAGAAATCTCAACTGTCTCTTTCTGAAGTTAAGCATAAGTGTACTGTTGGTTTCCATTTTCTCTAAGATTTCATTGTTGCTCACATGTTCAGTCTATGATATTCTCTGCATCCTCCTATAAGACCACATTTCTGTTGCTTCAAATCTCTTCTTTATCTCTGGGGAGAAAGTCCAGTAATACTGCCATATAAGATGGCTGATATTATTTAATTATTATTGTATCTGAATTAAGACTTTTTTCATATGATTTTTTTTGGTTGTTTTTATTTCATGGTATACCTATTGCTATGGGTTATTTAAAATTTAAATATTTTATATGCAATTTTTTTTTTTAAATAATAATGGTTTTAATGGTACAAGTCTTACTAATTAACCCATAGCTGGGAGAAGAAGAGGTTGATTCATAATTTTTGCTTTTGTACATGAGAGAATATAACAAACTCAACTGGAATTGGAACTTGGCTTAACTATTCTGAGACATTACCCACACATCCAGTTTTACAGCACCTGGTATTCCCAAGCAGTCACCTATCTAGGTTCTGACCAAGCTCAACATTGCTTAACTTGGGTGATCATACAGGAAACAGTGTTTCAATGTGATGTGGCTATAAGTCCATAGTTCAGATGAGTTGCATCATTATTCATGTATAATACAATGTTTTTTTTTCACCCAGAATTCTGAACCTAAAAAAGGTGCATATTATGCAAAATAAATACATATTAACTTTGTGTGACATGTGTGCTTCCATATTCAGGACTGTATGTCTGAAGATAATTTATATCTCTGACTAAAATGTAAAAAAGAATTTAAATCACTAATCAAACTCTGTATTCATTAAAAAAAATACTTTATTCACATAGATATTACATATATGTCACTCTGCTCCATGTCAGTAAAATCGCCAAAGCTAAGCAATATCTACCCTAGTCTGTACCTAGATGAGTGACCACCTGGGAATACCAGCTACTGTTAGGTTCTTTATATTGTTATGCACAAATACCCTTCGAAAAGGTATGAATCCACCCCTTCTCTATCCTGTTATGGATTAATTACCAAGACTTGTATCACTAAATCATTATTTTAAAAAAAAAAATTTTTACATTGTCAAAAAATTTTCTGGTATTAAATAACATGTAGTGAGTTGATAAGCTGTAAAAATGAATGAATCAATCAATTAATCTTGTCCTTCTTTCCCCAAAAGATATCATTTTCACTGCTGTTCAGTGTGTTCATGATACAACATATTTTAAATGACTTTGCCATGCTAGTTCCACAGATACTTGTCCAGTCTTCCAATATCCATGCCAATTTAACTGTAGTAATGTCCACTTCTTTTTCTACTTATAAATACTAACCACTATATAGTGTATTTGTTTATAATTTTGTTTCTTCTGGTTCGAGATTGGATTTGCAATAAACTTGTTGCATTTTGACGTGAACATGTTCATGTATTTGCATCAAATGCAGGGTAAATATTGTGTTTCAAAACACAATGTAAACAATAAATTCTTTAATTAGCTAATATGAAGCAGATAGAAATTTGAACAAATGATCAATTTAGTTTATTTAAAATTCTAAAAAGTTGGTGCCTTTAGACAGTGTATTTTCCCAGAATTTCATCACCCAAAATGACAGGTGCATATTGTAGATAAATGTTTTAACTAGAAATGTGAAGTCATAGGATTTGAAAGAGCAAACTTGAAAATTGTATTTAAAAGTGAACAGTTGGGGATAGCAAAATTTTACCTACATTTTTATAATAGAAAGTAAAATGTATTAGACTTGTTACCATATTGTAAATGTATATATATATATATATATATATATATATATATATATATATATATATATTTTTTTTTTTAAGCATTTCACCCCAAGCAAGGCGAGAAGCCACTAGGACACAAGGGGTTACAGAAAATTTAGAGCAAGATCAGATAGGAGTGAGGAGAAGGGTAGTGGATAGATCAAGGAAACTGGAGGTGTCGATTGACATAACACTTGAATAGCTGGAAATTATAGCTCTCAGGGAAACTGAAATAGGGAAGGGCGAGAGGTGCGAGACATGAAGCTATTGGAGTAGAAGAGACGGCTACATTTAGGAGTTTCAACAGTGAAAGGGTGAGAGCAGGATGCCAGCCTCGTCGGGAACTTGAACTCATGAAGTCTGGGAACCAACGAATGCAGATCCTCGGAGCAATTGAAAGTATTTGTAAAGCAGACAGAGAGAGGTGATGGCGCGTCTGTGAGAAAGTGACTGTAGACGAGATGCCAAAACAGGGCCAACAACTTTGAGCAAGTAACACATATGTATACCCTACTTCTCAAAGTAAAGAAAATAACTTTCAGGAAAAATACATTTCTGTAATCCAGTAGCAGCTATTACTCTTTTGAGTATTGATGGAGGTTTCCTTCCTAATCTTTTGTGTGAATTAGTGTGTAATGTCAACACCTTAATTATGTCATTTCTCTTTCAGTTACACTCAATGATTTTAGTTGTTGCTGCTGGTAAGTCCTCAAGTAATGTGGTTTTTGTTATCTGGTAAAATTCTTTGTTTGTGATTCTGTAATGTCATTTGAAGAAGGATTGTCCTTACTAAGACCTACAGGCATCATTTGTTCAAAGACATTTTTAACCGATGATCTGAGAAAGCAGTTGTATACAGCTGACAGTTTTGATATTTCTGAACAAATTTGGCACTAGCCATGGTATCGATATGAAAGTCTTGACCTGACAAAACTATTTAATAATATGACTGTCACAGAGCCATAAAACGCTTAACCTGACAATCAATTGAAAATGTCATATGCATGCCTTCACAAAATCCCTCCCATGTCTAGTATTTCTGAGAACAAAATTTTAATCATTCTTATCCCTTTTCGTATTCAATTTTCAACTTGAAGGGGAAAAATTTTATTACGGAATAATGGCTTGTAATTCCACACATCTCAGATTAATGTCTAAACACTTGCACCTTGATGACATCCCAACAGAGCCAATGTCTTTTTACTGAAGAGAGTTTCCATTTATAGTCATCACTTCTGTCTTTCTTTATTCCTCACCTTCTTTTGTGTCAAAACAACTCTAACCCACCAGATCAACACCCTCATCGGTCTCTTTTTATGTTGCACCATTTTCTTGCCCTGACCTCAACCTTATAACCTTCCTATCCAATATCTTCCCAAAATTTTCCTAAATGAGATAAATATCTGCCTGCCTCTAATAGATGAAAGGGGAAAGAGGCCGCCATTGCAAGACAACAATCTTTTCTTGATTATTCCTGTCTTCAGCAACGTTTCTCTTTCATTTAGTTTGCATTCATTTTTCCTTTTGTTTTCATTTTCTTGTTTCTTTCTGTCATTAACTTTTGATCAATTTCTTCTTTCTCAAATTTTTCAGTCTTTTTTTTTTCTGTCATTTGCTTCTATCAATTTCATAATTTTTCATTTTTCCTTTTTCTGCTGTTTGTATTTCTCTATTATTTTTTGTTTTTTTATCATTTCTTTGCCATTTTTTTTCATTTTCTTCTATTACTTTCTAGTTCCTTATTAATTATTTGTTTTACTATATTTTTTCTGTCATTTTCTGTTTTTACATTTATTTCTATTATTTTCTTGCTTTACATTAATTTTCTTTTTCTATCATTTTATTATTTCTAACATTCATCTTTTTTCATTATTTTCTTCAGATTTTTTACTACAATTTCCTTCTCACTTTTTATTTTTTATACTATTTGATTTGCTGTTTTCTTTACACAATGTCAGACTTTATTATGCAAGTCAGTTTTTCTACCATAAAGTTTCTGTTAAACAACCAATGTTGGTAAAATATTCAGAATGTGCTTAGCAACAAATTGTGTGAGTTTTCAGGTTTATAATACAATTAGCAATAGTGATATCTTTCGAGGGGATGTTAGTTTTTACAGATTATTTTTTCCAGAATTTCAACACCCAAAATGAAGGGTGAATATTATAGATAAATGTTTTTGCTAGCAGCATGAAGTCATAGTATTTGAGAGAGCAACTGCATTGGGTGGGACAATTTTTCTTTCCGGAATCTATCTTGCATATCTATAAATATATCTATATCTACCATTTGTCTGTGCTTATAATATTGCAGCCATATATGGTCTGGTACCCCTGTTATTTATATTGAACTCCTTGATAAGATCCAAAGAAGAATCAGCAATATTATTGGTCCTGATATGGCAGCTCAGCTTCAGTTGCTTTCCCACTGCTGTAAGGTTGCCTCTCTGTGCCTTTTTTTATAAATACTTTTATGGTAATTGTTCAGATATGCTCTTTGTTATGCTACCTAAACTTCATGAATTTAACTGCAATACTAGACTGGCATCGAGATCTCATCACTTTACAGTTCATCTAGCTAGATTTAGGCTAACTTCTATGCTAACAGTTTCTTTTCTCGCACTTCTCACTTGTGGAACTCCCACCTGGCTTCTTTCTTTCCAAACAACTTTAATTTGCAGAAATTACTAATGTTCTGCTCCTAATTTCCCCACACCACATAGCCCCTTGCATACTAGTGGCTGTACTGTCTTTTTGTGTGATACTGATTAAAAAAAAAAATATGAACAATAGGGGATAGTAAAATTTTACTTACATTTTTATAATTGAATCTAAAATGCATTAAACTCATTACCATATCATAACACTATATTTCTATTATACGAGAACTTTGAGCGAGTAACACATACTTATGCCCTTCTTCTCAAAGCAAAGAAGGAGAGAAGACAACTTGTAATGTTAATATTAGCCATTCCCTTATAATATTCAACATTCATTAACCAAGCAGTCAATGATGCTTTCAGTTGAAATTTATAAAACATTTTAAGATGACTTTTCAGAAAAATATGTTTCTGAAATCCAGTAGCTGTTATTGCTCTTTCCAGTATTGACGAGGGATTCAGTCTTAATCTTTTGTTTGAACAGGTGTGTAATATTTGCATCTTAATTATATCATTATCTTCACTGAGAGTTGCATGTCTTATCTATTTTAGTTGTTGCTGCTGTTGAAAATTCTCAAGTGATGTGTTTTCTGGTTTCAATAGTGATAATAACTTTTGAGGAACATAAAACAAATCTAACAAATTTTTATTTATAAATAAATCCAAATTTGATAGGCTGTAGGAACATATTTGATGAACACAAAATCTCATATTCCTTAATTGTTATTTTGTTATTTCACAGGTTCTTTGACATTCTATGACATTCATCACTTTTTCAGTCATTGATTTTATTAATTTTTCTACTATCTACATTTAACATTATTTGCAGCACATCTTAATTCTTCACAGAGGTTTTCTTTGCTTAAATATTTTTTTTCATTCTCATATATGTCACTTTTGTTGATGGATCACAAATTTTCTATTGAATCAACATGGCTGTAGCAGAGAGAAATGTTGTGGGGTGGTAGGCAAAAAAATACAATTTAGCCTTAAGTTATCAGGGGCCACCAACATGGTTAACGGCAAGAATATTTAAAATTTCCAGTCCCTCTAGATTGGCAAAAATCATGTTTGAAATAATAGAGAACAGCCTGTGTTACAGATTGCTGTAACCAAGGAAAAAATTACTGAATAAGAATAA